TTCCAGCCTCATTTCAATGACTTTCTGGCTATCCCGAGGAGGTTCGGAGCCGGCTGTTGACGGTCTGTGATTCTCTCTCAGAGACTTCATGAGTTCTTCGGCCATATAGCTGATGGGAAACTGAGTAGCGGCCGTACAGGCGTACCGCAGGCGGCAGGCGGGGCAGAGCAGCGAGTTCTTCCTGATGGTACTGGCGATGCAGCGGGTACAGAAGGCGTGGCCGCAGGGAAGGTTCCGTGGACGGCGTTCGCAGTCGTCGAAGTCGACGTAGCACACCTTGCACTCAAACGGGCTGTTGCCGAACTGGAAAAAAGAGGTTCAAATCTGTTTGTAGAATTCAGTCTTGTGTAACATTTCCTCCCACCGCTCACAGGATGGGTATGCCCCCACCGCTCACAGGATGGGTATGCCACCACCGCTCACAGGATGGGTATGCCACCACTGCTCACAGGATGGGTATGCCACCACTGCTCACAGGATGGGTATGCCACCACTGCTCACAGGATGGGTATGCCACCACTGCTCACAGGATGCTTATGCCACCACTGCTCACAGGATGGGTATGCCCCCACCGCTCACAGGATGGGTATGCCCCCACCGTCACAGGATGGGTATGCCACCACTGCTCACAGGATGGGTATGCCCCCACCGCTCACAGGATGGGTATGACCCCACCGCTCACAGGATGGGTATGCCACCACCGCTCACAGGATGGGTATGCCACCACCGCTCACAGGATGGGTATGCCCCAGGATGGGTATGCCACCACCGCTCACAGGATGGGTATGCCCCAGGATGGGTATGCCACCACCGCTCACAGGATGGGTATGCCACCACTGCTCACAGGATGAGTATGCCACCACCGCTCACAGGATGGGTATGCCACCACGGCTCACAGTATGGGTATGCTCCCACCGCTCACAGGATGGGTATGCCACCACCGCTCACAGGATGGGTATGCTCCCACCGCTCACAGGATGGGTATGCCACCACCGCTCACAGGATGGGTATGCCACCACTGCTCACAGGATGAGTATTGCCACCACCGCTCACAGAATGGGTATGCCACCACGGCTCACAGTATGGGTATGCTCCCACCGCTCACAGGATGGGTATGCCACCACCGCTCACAGGATGGGTATGCCACCACCGCTCACAGGATGGGTATGCCACCACCGCTCACAGGATGGGTATGCCACCACTGCTCACAGGATGGTATACCACCGCTGCTCACAGGATGGGTATGCCACCACTGCTCACAGGATGGGTATGCCACCACTGCTCACAGGATGGGTATGCCACCACTGCTCACAGGATGGGTATGCCACCACCGCTCACAGGATGGGTATGCCACCACTGCTCACAGGATGGGTATGCCACCACTGCTCACAGGATGGGTATGCCACCACTGCTCACAGGATGGGTATGCCACCACCGCTCACAGGATGGGTATGCCACCACCGCTCACAGGATGGGTATGCCACCACCGCTCACAGGATGGGTATGCCACACCGCTCACAGGATGGGTATGCCACCACCGCTCACAGGATGGGTATGCCACCACCGCTCACAGGATGGGTATGCCACCACTGCTCACAGGATGAGTATGCCACCACCGCTCACAGGATGGGTATGCCACCACGGCTCACAGTATGGGTATGCTCCCACCGCTCACAGGATGGGTATGCCACCACCGCTCACAGGATGGGTATGCCACCACCGCTCACAGGATGGGTATGCCACCACCGCTCACAGGATGGGTATGCCACCACTGCTCACAGGATGGGCATGCCACCACCGCTTACAGGATGGGTATGCCACCACCGCTCACAGGATGGGTATGCCACCACCGCTCACAGGATGAGTATGCCACCACCGCTCACAGGATGGGTATGCCACCACTGCTCACAGGATGGGTATGCCACCACCGCTCACAGGATGGGTATGCCACCACTGCTCACAGGATGGGTATGCCACCACTGCTCACAGGATGGGTATGCCACCACTGCTCACAGGATGGGCCACCACTGCTCACAGGATGGGTATGCCACCACTGCTCACAGGATGGGTATGCATGCTCACAGGATGGGTATGCCACTGCTCACAGGATGGGTATGCCACCACTGCTCACAGGATGGGTATGCCACCACTGCTCACAGGATGGGTATGCCACCACCGCTCACAGGATGGGTATGCCACCCACCGCTCACAGGATGGGTATGCCACCACTGCTCACAGGATGGGTATGCCACCACCGCTCACAGGATGGGTATGCCACCACTGCTCACAGGATGGGTATGCCACCACTGCTCACAGGATGGGTATGCCACCACTGCTCACAGGATGGGTATGCCACCACTGCTCACAGGATGGGTATGCCACCACTGCTCACAGGATGGGTATGCCACCACTGCTCACAGGATGGGTATGCCACCACTGCTCACAGGATAAGTGTGGAATGCATCTGTAAATTTTACCACTAAGCACATGACGGGTATTACGTGTACCATAATTGAATTGTAAAAATAATTTGCAACTTTGGAAACGATCCCATTAAACTAGTCACTACGGGAACACCATCCCATTAGGCTGTGAACTATTGGAATACTGTCCCGTTGGGCATTAAATGGTTAAACTCTGAACAATTGGGATACCATCCCACCTGGTTCTGCTCTATCATGATATCATCCCAGTGAGTACTGTACCATTGGAATACCATCCCAGTCGTTATCTGAGCTACCAGGATAGCACCCGACCCGATGAAATCCTTAAGCTGACGAGTCCCACATATCCCAAGGCGATGAAAACGCCACTTGGGGTCCTTTTCCGGTCCCAAGACCACGAGGAAACACCTGGTGTCCGGCCCCTTTCCGGCTCTAAGACCACGAGGACACACCAGGTGTCCGGCCCTTACCTCAGGTCCGGTGGCCAGCGGCTGTGTCCTCTGCTGCTGCGGTGCTGTGGACGACGTCTGGGGGAGTGGCGGCGGTGATGCTTCAGTCAGTCCTCTCCCGTTCTCCTTTCTCCTCATCCTCCGTTTTCTTTTCCCCTCTACTGGCTGCCAGGCGTCCAGTTTCTCCGAGGAATCGGTTCGTTCCTCGGGGTCGCCAGAGGGCAGGTGCGGAGGGAAGGTCGCCCCGCTGTTTGCAGATGGGGGAGAGCTAGGGACGTGGGAGCGATTGGGCACTGGTTGCTCCTTGTTGTATATGACACTGTGGCTGGCTGTGGTCGTCCGTGTGCCTGGCTGTGAAGGGGAATCTCCAGCAATATCAACACATGTAATCCAATATTTATAAAATGAATCAGCTGTATACAACATATTATTTCACTTCATATGCCACTATAGCTCCCACACACACACACACACACACACACCTCTTCCTCCATTCCCTCTGCCCCCTTCTGCCCCAATGTCCACACCTACCCTGAGTCTCCCCTGACTAATACAACCTCTCTGCCACTCTCACAATCCATGCTCCATCCTCCCCTCTTCCCCTACTCCCTCTATCCTTCTCCCCCCTCCCAACCTCTCAACCTCTATCTGACTCTCAGCCTCACACTACCTCTCACCCCCCCCTCTATGCTTCTCAAACCCTCCCTAATTTTCAGACCCAGTATGCCCTTCTACTCCAGACCTACCTACCCAGGCCCTACCCCAGACCTTTCTACCTAACCTTCCTGGATGTCCAGCCCCCCATTCGCCCCCCAGGCACTCCCACCCAGACCCCATTCACCCCCCAGATCCACCCAGACACCCCCCCCACATCCCCCCCAAACCCCCATAGATAGGGTGTACTCAGGCACCAAAGTTTCCAAGAAGAGTCTCAAGGTTTGGTACACCAATGCTGATCGGGTAACTAATAAAGCATAAGAGGTAAAAGAAAGAGTGAGTGAGGCAGATCCTGACATAGTTGCAATAGTGAAAACTAAAATAAATGGCATAATCTCGGATGCAATCTTTCCAGAGGGGTACCAGGTGATAAGAAAAGACAGGACACAGAGACAGGGAGGAGGAGTGGCACTCCTAATAAAGCAGAAATGGAAGTTTGAAGACCTGGGAAATCGGGGTGCCAGTGAGAGCACAAGCTTCATGCATGGAACTCTGACAGCAGATGGGAGGAAGATTGTGATCTTGGTAATCTACAATCCCCCACCAAACAGTAAAAGACCCAGGCAGGAGTATGATGACAACAACAAGGCATGCATAGATGAACTGCAGAAAGCAGCAACATTAGCCCAAAGAATGAGAGCGAAGCTGCTGATCATGGGGGACCTAAATCATGGAGAGATAAATTGGGAATCAAGGAATCCCCATGGAGGGGACGAAACGTGGGGAGCAAAGTTAGTAGATGTTATAGACAGGAATTTCCTAACACAACATGTGAAGGAAGACACAAGGGAAAGAGGAGGAGATGCACCGAGCCTATTAGACGTGATTTTCACCCAGAACGTAGAAGACATCGAGAATTTGGAGCATGAAATACCTCTAGAGGCCCGCGACCATTGTGTCCTAGTCTTTGACTACATGATGGAATTCAAACTTGTGACATGGGACACGAGGTCTGGGAAAGGAGAGCTGACTACAGGAAAGGGGACTATAAGAGGATAAGGGACTATCTGGGAGAAGTGCAGTGGGAGGAAGAAATTAGAGGAAAAACAGTCCAAGATATGATGGACCTAGTCATATGGAAATGCCAGGAGGCCGAAGAGAGATTTATACCAACAGTAAAGGAAAAAAGCAGGAGGGAATATAATAACCCATGGTTTAATAGACAGTGTCAGGAAGCAAAAGTGAGAAGCAGGTGGGAGTGGAGGAAGTACAGAAGACAAAGGACAGAGGCCAACAGGATCAGATGCAACAGAGCTAAGAACTATTACATTAACATAAGAAGAGCATTGAAAAGAAATTGTAAGAACGATATTGCGATCAAAGCAAAAAAGCAACCTAAATTACTACACAGCCATATAAGAAGAAAAATGTCGGTGAACGACCAAGTGACAAGACTAAGGAAGACAGGGGGGGCATATACTGAAAGTGACAAGGAAATCTGCGAGGTACTGAATGCAAGTTTCCATGGAGTGTTCACAACCGAGCCTAAGCAGCTCCCATTGTTAGAAGAGATTACCCTAGATGAAAGACTATCAGATATAGAGGGGACAGCAGAGAAGGTAATGAAACAGTTGACAACACTGGATGCAACTAAAGCGGTTGGACCAGACAAAGTATCACCGTGGATACTAAAAGAGGCAGCGCAGGCCCTCAGCATGCCTCTGGCAATGATCTTTAATGAATCACTTATGTCGGGAGAATTGCCCAATTGCTGGAACAGGACAAATGTTGTACCGATCTTCAAGAAAGACCGGTACAACACTTTACACTCTACAGACACTCTACACTGGCAAAAGTTAGAACATCATTCAGAAACCTAAGTAAGGAGGCATTTAGGGTGCTTTACACTGCCTACGTGAGGCCAGTCTTAGAGTATGCCGCCTCATCATGGAGTCCCCATCTGAAGAAACACATAAGGAAACTGGAAAAGGTTGAGAAGCTTGCGACGATCGAGACTCGTCCCAGCGTTACGAGTGATAGGGAATGAAGAGCGCCTGAAGGAACTGAGCTTTACGACACTAGAAAAAAGAAGGGAGAGGGGGGACATGATAGGAACGTATAAAATACTCAGGGGGGATTGACAGAGTGGACATAGACGAAATGTTCAAATGGAATAGTAACAGAACGAGGGAACATGGGTGGAAGCTGGAAACTCAGATGAGTTACAGAGATGTTAGGAAGTTTTCTTTTAGCGTGAGAGTAGTGGAAAAATGGAATGCACTTAAGGAACAGGTTGTGGAAGCAAATACTATTCATAATTTTAAAACTAGATATGATAGGGAAATAGGACCGGAGTCATTGCTGTAAACAACCGATGGCTCGATAGGCGGGATCCAAGAGTCAATGCTCGATCCTGCAAGCACAAATAAGTGAAAACACACACACACACACAATGGGAACACAATAGGGCCGGTGGCTAAGCGGACAGCACGCTGGACGCGTGATCCTGTGGTCCCGGGTTCGATTCTGGGCGACGGCGAGAAACAATGGGCAGAGTTTCTTTCACCCTGATGCCCCTGTTTTCCTAGAAGTAAATAGGTACCTGGGAGTTAGTCAGCTGCCACGGGCTGCTTCCTGGGGTGTGTGTGTGTGTGTGTGTGTATGTGTGTGAAAAATAAATAGTTAGTAGTTAGTAACAGTTGATTGATTGACAGTTGAGAGGCGGGCCGAAAGAGCAGAACTCAACCCCCGCAAGCACAACTAAGTGAATTCAAGCACAACTAAGGAAATACAAGTTCTTCGTACTGCTTATAAAGTTTTAATGCAGTTAACAGCACCCCCTTCACCTCTACATGTACTCATCACTCATCACACGTGTACCTGGGTACACGTGTACACGTGCACATAGGTACCTGGGAGTTAGTCAGCTGTCACGGGCTGCTTCCTGGGGGTGGAGGCCTGGTCGAGGACCTGGCCGCGGGGACACTAAAGCCCCGAAATCAACTCAAGATAACCTCAAGATATCACTCGCAATTGTCGTCTCGTCACTCTACTTGACTATGTGATTGGTCCAAGTACTTCCAGGCCATCTGCACAATACACACAGGAGATGCACTTTCTCTAAGTCCACGTAAGCGACGTACTTCCTCCACGTTCATACGGAATATGTACGTTTTTGCAAGTTCAAAGTGCTGTGTGGTACCCCCTAAGTTGGTGCTGGCTATGTGCACTCACCAAGTCCATATATACCCTGTGATTCTATTGATCAGAATGAAAACAGATGACCAGATTGGACTTTTGTGACCAGAAGTCCATTCTGGTCCTTTCTGGACTTTCTCAAAGTTCGTCTATACCATGTGCTTCCTCAGGTCATGAACTTTCTCATAAGTCCATAGAGGCTATATGGGCTTTCACCAAGTCCATAAAAGTCCACGTGAATCCACCTACCCTGACCTACCTACCATCTTACCATTGTAAGTCTTAAAGCCGTAGGGGAGGACGTGGCAGAAGTGACGGACAGGGGGACTTTCACCCTTGATGACAAGGCGGTGGATGGTTGCAGACTTGAAGTAGAGGTTGCAGAGGTAGAGAGGCCTTTTTCGAAATTGAAGTAACATAGGCGCAGAGATGCTTGAACTTCAGACTTGAGGATGTAGAAACGCTACAAGGAGACACATCATTAGTTGACGTAGTGGTTGTACAGTCTTTGTGGAGTCTTTCAGACTTATTGACAGGGGGGAGACTCCTTCAGACACGATATAGACAGGGGGGAGGGGGTGGAGGTGGACGCCTTGAGATCTGATAGAGAAGAGTGTTATGACTCTAATTAATATAAACGGTTTACACACAACTCACAACTGATGACGTCCGAACACTTTCGGAACAAGTGCTTCGATCACGTCCTGTGTTCGAACCACAACGCTGTAAATGCTTCACCCACGTACTACAAATACAAATAATCGCCAACAGAACCTAAACACCTAACCTAACATACGCCTAATTATACATAGAAATTATATGCATAATAATATTTAATTTATATATGAGAACAAACCAATTTTTTAATACACATTATGTTAAACTTGATGAATGCGTCTGGGGAGGACGGCCGCTGCTTTAACCAGCCTAGTGTGAGGACGGGTTGAACCACAATGCTATAAATGCTTCACCCACGTACTACAAATACAAATAATCGCCAACAAAACCTAAACACCTAACCAATGCCTAAATATGCCCAGAATGCTAATATATAACAATATTAATTTATATTTGAGAAAATTCCTATTTTAAATAGGAATTGTTATATTGCATGTTAAAACTAATGAATACGTTTCTGGGGTCGACCACTGGATGGAATGGAGTTGGCGTACGTGAAGACGGGTTGTCAGGATCAACCACAAACGTACACAGTACCGTGACCACCGCACCATTGATCGTCTCACGATCAATGGTGCGGTGCATGTCACGGTACTGTGTACCTTTGGAGTTGAAAGTACCGGCTAATCTAATATTTTAATTTCCCCTGCGTTATCAACATTGAATCAAGTTAGTTTAATAGTTGAACTTAATAGATAAATATAGATAGTTCACTGGCAGTTAGAATATCCTTTTGTGATGAGCTGGAGTGAGATGTTTCCCAGTAACTGTCTGAGGAAGAGGCCAAGAGGTCCTTACGTCTTCTCACGTTAATGTCTAATTTAAAGCGGCATGACTTGATACCCTAATCAAGTTTTTAGCTTGGCCAATCTTATTAAAGCTAGGAATTTAGCTCTGCGACTAGGTCTGATTGTGGGAAGCGGTTAGGAGATAAGTAATAAGATTTCTTCATAATCTTTCATATCTTCATATGCACTGAACTCTTCATAAATATAAATGGATTGATTAATATTGATCTGAAAAAAAAGATACAAAATTATTTTAGTCTGTCCTTAAACAGCATTCATTCTTTTATTTGTAGAAGAAAATGAGTTGTATGTTTGGGGTACTATAATAATTCTCTCATCTGTTTTTATATTTTGAAAACCGGTTATCAAGTATAAATTAACTAAGCAGAAAAACGGTTTTTTAATGAACAAACTACATCTTCAGTAGAGGTTAACTAACTACTGCATATGCTTGTTGAAGAAAATGATCTAATTATTTTATTAATAGGCATATTATGGAAGCCTAACAGGCAGAGGGATTTTCATTATATAAAAAAAATCGATTTGGTTGATTTGAATTAATATTATTATATCGTATTAAGAACATAACTACTGACTTGGTTAGGTTAAGATAGGTTAGGTTAGGTTAGGTTAGGTTAGGTTAGGTTAGGTTAGGTTAGGTTAGGTTAGGTTAGGTTAAGATAGGTTCGGGCATATTTCTACGCTAGTTTTAACTCAAATTATAAACAGATCATAATATAAAATAATGGAAAGCTTAATCATTCCATATGAGAAAAAAATTAGAAAATTTTATAATTCAGAAAACTCGGCTTGTTAGGCAAATTGGGCTTTGGATACTAGCCCCAGTAGTGCGCTCTGGCAATTCAGTACAACCCAGTAAACAATTTGTCTTTGGGGGAAACAGATAACATTTAGAATAATAATATAAATGGTGAACCATTGATAAAAAAAAAAATTTACCTTAAAATACCAGGGATAATGTTTTTAATTCTATGTACTTATGACCCCCCAACTCCTGTGATATAGGTATATGATACATAGGAAGTCCTATATAGTCCACGGGCACATATAGGAGGTCCTATAGTCCATGGGTACACATATAGGAGGTCCTATATGTATACCCATTACCCTTAGATCCTGTGACCTTGACACAGTCCTATGTTTACATAGGACTCGTGGGAATGATTTCATGTTGTATTTTGATGGCATGAAAGAACGATGCCCCATCACTTGGACTGGTTGGTTGGTACAGGGACGGCTTCGCTTCCTGCGGGTCGGCGTTCGATCCCCCGCGATATCTCCTGAGTAAGGCACATATTGGAATTGTTCGAACAAGTAGTCTGGATTTAAAGTCTTCTTTGACCTATTCAGTGTTTGAAATGTGTCCATGAGATCCGATTTTTTTTTTTCCTGGTTTGTAATGATTTATAGTTCTGTGGCCCCTTTTCCTAGTATGAAAAGGGTGTTTTGACAGTAAGGTAAAAGTCAAAACGCTGTTCAAGTCAAACTCACTTTGTATTCACCGTTAAAGAAACACAGACGTACTCCGACAGGATTAACATATAGATAGATCGTCAGAAAGCAATCTATCAGTGACGGTAATACACTGGCCTCGCGTATTGTTGTTGTATTTTACTGTATGTCTCAGGCGTAGTATGTATACAGATCACTGTGACTTTAACCACTGTTCTAAGGGACAGTTTCCTCTCAGGTTATGTTAGCTAATTGGTTAGAAGCTTTGAATCATTGGAATTTGTGACGATCTACACACACACACACACACACACACACACACACACTCACTCTATGGTGAGAGTTTACAGTCACCATCACTGTATGGTGGGCCTCACTGTATGTGTATATAGAATACACACACATCCAAAGCTAATTAAGGAAGTCAAGGCTTCTTACCTCTCTATAGCACGTCGGGGGACTTGATGACTTCACTCATCTGATGAACTAAACAGACATCATTAATCTCACTGGATGAGTCTGATGATTTTCAAGGTAATTAATGAGTAGCTCCCCCCCACCCCCACGAACGATGTCCCCCCATTGGCATCCCGCAGGCAACTGACTCACCTAAATATTTTAGGCACTTGTTTGGGGGAGTGCCAGAACTCTTGTGAATGATTCGTGCAGGGGGACATACACCTACATTGGTGTATGATGTATGATTTAGTAAATTGCGAGGGGGGAAGGGGAGGGGGGGGTTAAAATCGTTGTTTTGGTGAGAACAAATAAAGTAAAAGAGGTGTTATTGTGAAATAGAATAATTTACAGCTTGGGCAAAAGTTCTGTAGTCTGGTGGATGGAAAATGTAGCGAGATTTGGCAACGATGTTGACCGTGACGTGTATTAGACACGTCAACTTCTCCCCCCTTCTCCCCCCCCCCTCTTTTAATTCCCCCCCCCTATCACCCCCATTCCCCCCCCCCCCCCCTTCTCACACTGTAACTTTCCACCCCCTTCCAAATCTTCCATAAAAAATTAAATTGTCAAAAGTCATAATCAGTGTTTTCTTTCCTGCAGCCTCATGGGCCAGTCGACCTACAATGTTTACCAACTCCAACATGGGACGGGATCCACACATATTTTATATAAGAGTTATTATCATTGGGAAAAAAATCCATTTTCTTTAATATTTTAAGGCTACTTCAAACATTAATTGTGATGGGTTATTTAAGGACTGCAGAGCACTTTTAGAGTCACAACATATCACTCCTCCCCCCAGTGAGCTTAAATACTCAACCTAACCACTTGGGCTGGACGGTAGAGCGACGGTCTCGCTTCCTGCAGGTCGGCGTTCAATCCCCGCGACCGTCCAAGTGGTTGGGCACCATTCCTTCCCCCAGTCCCATCCCAAATCTTTATCCACATTTCCCTTCCAAGTACTTATAAGTACATAGTACTATAAGTACTATGTACTTATAAGTACTATAAGTACATAGTTCTTATAGCTTAGTCTTTTAATAATTATCTAACCTGAGAGCATCACTTCAGTTTACAGACCTGGCTGGTATATGATAAGGTTAGTTGTGATCTTACCATAGAGAGCCAACGAGGCTTTTAGAGAGGGTTGTTAAGTGCTAGATCACACGCCACTTTGCTCACCTTTAGGTAAAAACTGTTGTTATATATTTATATGTTCAAGAAATGTGTAAGTATTTCATTCATAATGATGTGCTGCCCAGGAATCTTAGTGAAGTATCCAAAATTTGCTGACTGTAGGTGCAGCTTGCACATGACTGTAAAGCTGCCGCCCAGTTGGCTGGGTGTGGAGCACATGACTGTAAAGCTGCCGCCCAGTTGGGTGGGTGTGGAGCACATGACTGTAAAGCTGCCGCCCAGTTGGGTGGGTGTGGAGCACATGACTGTAAAGCTGCCGCCCAGTTGGGTGGGTGTGGAGCACATGACTGTAAAGCTGCCGCCCAGTTGGGTGGGTGTGGAGCAAGACTAGTAACTGTGTGACTCACCATAGATGTAAAGTGCCTTGTATAGTGACTGTTGTGAGCCTCTTGTTGAATCACTTGTGATATAAAAAGATTATCGATGTATATATATGTATTTGTGGACATAAATGTATATATTTGATGTATATAATACATCATACATATACACTGGCGTCCTGAGGTTGACTGATGTGGCCTTTCAGTAATATTTATGACTTCATAAATGTAATGATTCATTTGCCAGACCTGAGGGCCCCTCGGTCTTAGCCGCGTAGGGGGCCCTCGGTCTTAGCTGCGTCGGGGGCCCTCGGTCTTAGCTGCGTCGGGGGCCCTCGGTCTTAGCTGCGTCGGGGGCCCTCGGTCTTAGCTGCGTCGGGGGCCCTCGGTCTTAGCTGCGTCGGGGGCCCTCGGTCTTAGCTGCGTCGTGGGCCCTCGGTCTTAGTCACGTCGAGGGCCCTCGGCCTTAGCTGCGTCGGGGGCCCTCGGTTTTAGCTGCGTCGGGGGCCCTCGGTCTTAGCTGCGTCGGGGGCCCTCGGTCTTAGCTGCGTCGGGGGCCCTCGGTCTTAGCTGCGTCGGGGGCCCTCGGTCTTAGCTGCGTCGGGGGCCCTCGGTCTTAGCTGCGTCGGGGGCCCTCGGTCTTAGCTGCGTCGGGGGCCCTCGGTCTTTGCTGCGTCGGGGGCCATCGGTCTTAGCTGCGTCGGGGGCCCTCGGTCTTAGCTGCGTCGTGGGCCCTCGGTCTTAGCTGCGTCGGGGGCCCTCGGTCTTAGCCGCGTCGGGGGCCCTCGGCCTTAGCTGCGTCGGGGGCCCTCGGTCTTAGCTGCGTCGGGGGCCCTCGGTCTTAGCTGCGTCGGGGGCCCTCGGTCTTAGCTGCGTCGGGGGCCCTCGGTCTTAGCCGCATCGGGGGCCCTCGGCCTTAGCTGCGTCGGGGGCCCTCGGTCTTAGCTGCGTCAGGGGCCCTCGGTCTTAGCCGCGTCGGGGGCCCTCGGTCTTAGTCACGTCGGGGGCCCCTCGGTCTTAGCCGCGTCGTGGGCCCCTCGGTCTTAGCCGCGTCGTGGGCCCCCCGGTCTTAGCCGCGTCGTGGGCCCCTCGGTCTTAGCTGCGTCGGGGGCCCTCGGTCTTAGCTGCGTCGTGGGCCCCTCGGTCTTAGCCGCGTCGTGGGCCCCTCGGTCTTAGCTGCGTCGGGGGCCCTCGGTCTTAGCTGCGTCGTGGGCCCTCGGTCTTAGCTGCGTCGGGGGGGGGGGGGGGGGGGGCTAAGTGAGTTGGTCATCCGGGCCGGGTATTCATCAAGTATTCAACCTCCTCTTCGCGAAACCTCTAGATCTTTCCTTAATAAAGGATCAAGCTTATGTTTGCACTTATTTAATAATATACGAGCTTCACAACCCCCCGCGGTTGTTACAATATGTTGGCCACTCGGCAACAGTAATTGTCTATCGGTTGTGATAGATAATATTATATATGTCAAGAGCAAGGGAAGAGAGAGAGAGAGGAGAGGGGGGGAGGGGGCGTGGGAGGGGGGGGGAGGTGTTTTCTCAAGAGGTCTGGCTGAAGGAGTCTGCGAGTGTTGACTAGTTGCTGTTGTCAACATTGTTCCCGGCACAACTGGTTTCGTTGACGGAATCCACGTGGTCTGAATACAGTCTAGAATACAGTCTGATGTATTTCAGGTTTTGTTGTGAGGTTGGCTACTTCCAGGGCCTGGGAAATGGTCACTTCCGTCTTAGGCATGTGACAGGTGACAGATGTAAGGACAGGTGTTGACAGTGCCCCATCTTGACATGCCGTGACAGGTGACAGATGTTGACAGTACGCATCTTGACATGCCATGACAGGTGACAGATGTAAGGACAGGTGTTGATATTGCGTATCTTGACATGCCATGACAGGTGACAGATGTAAGGACAGGTGTTGACAGTGCGTATCTTGACATGCCGTGACAGGTGACAGATGTAAGGACAGGTGTTGACAGTGCGTATCTTGACATGCCGTGACAGGTGACAGATGTAAGGACAGGTGTTGACAGTGCGTATCTTGACATGCCATGACAGGTGACAGATGTAAGGACAGGTGTTGACAGTGCGTATCTTGACATGCCATGACAGGTGACAGATGTAAGGACAGGTGTTGACAGTGCGTATCTTGACATGCCATGACAGGTGACAGATGTAAGGACAGGTGTTGACAGTGCGTATCTTGACATGCCATGACAGGTGACAGATGTAAGGACAGGTGTTGACAGTGCGTATCTTGACATGCCATGACAGGTGACAGATGTAAGGACAGGTGTTGACAGTGCCCCATCTTGACATGCCGTGACAGGTGACAGATGTTGACAGTACGCATCTTGACATGCCATGACAGGTGACAGATGTAAGGACAGGTGTTGATAGTGCGTATCTTGACATGCCATGACAGGTGACAGATGTAAGGACAGGTGTTGACAGTGCCCCATCTTGACATGCCATGACAGGTGACAGATGTAAGGACAGGTGTTGACAGTGCCCCATCTTGACATGCCATGACAGGTGACAGATGTAAGGACAGGTGTTGACAGTGCCCCATCTTGACATGACTTGACAGGTGTCATATCACCCGAGTGACACATCATAAAACAACAACAACAACACCCTCACAACCAACCAACCAAACAAACAAAACAAACAAACAAACCCCCCAAAAAATAAATACAATTCAGCCCGGCGGCTCTCCACCAATCATAACCGAGAATAAAAAAACAGAAATAGTGCCAATCAATACCCCCCCTCCCCTCCCCCCCCCCCCCCCAGGGGCAGCAGAGTGCCAGAGCCAGAGAGCCATTAGCGCTGCGTCCCTCCCCCCTTCCCCCCCCCCCCTCTAGTGGTACTAAAAAGACCCATAGAAGCCATTAATATTGCCCCCCCCCCCCACCAAGTTGATATTAGGACGAGCTGAGGACGCCATCTATGTCTATCGAACGACTTCCTTGATAGATAATTAATTGTGATAATAACGTTACTTGCTCGTTTGTATATCATAGGATTTTTTTTTTTTAATTAGTGGAAAGAGATAATTACATTTCCATGTGTTGTGTTCCGTTGCCATGGTAACCCGGATCAAAACAAACTCACAGCGATCGAAAGATAAGGGGAACTGGTTCTTACGCGCGTGTTGATCAGTGGTCAATATCCCTTGACCCGCGACGGGCTTGCGTCCAGACGCGATAGTTCTCATATGTTATCGTTCGTATTTCATCTTCAGGCTGCTCTACGGTCAGATACAATCGTCTGTTGGTTAATTTGTGTTGTACAGCTTGAGCGAAGTCAGTGACAGAAAGAAAAGTATATTCAAAAGTATAATTAACGTACGTTATTTGATTGACCGAAATGAAATAAAAAATTATAGCGATTTCTGTTGATATTTAGCAAAAAATTTTTCTTGAACTGAAAGCTTCGTTCTTGCATGCGAATCTACCTTGATTAATGCAGTTATTCATTGAGTTGCGCTCTATTTCATTTTCCTTCGGACGGTTGCTCTATTCATTGAACAGTAAATTGCTCCCATTAACAAAATAATTGTACAGCTAAACACCACAACGTTTACAGTCAATCAGAGCCAGTTAGAGTGCTC